ACATGTAATTAGTAGCACATGTAAATTGGTCAATTTATTCTCCAAAGCACCAGAAGGCAGGACAAGAAACAATGGATGGAAACTAATCAAGGAGAGAAGCAACCTGGAATTAAGGAGAAGCTTCCTAACAGTGAGTGTAATTAACCAGTGGAACATCTTGCCACCAGAGGTTGTAGGTGCTTCATCACTGGAGATTTTAAAGAAGAGACTGGACAGCCACTTATCTGAAATGGTATAGGGTCTCCTGCTTGAGTAGGGGCTGGACTAGAAGACCTCCAAGGTCCCTTCCAGCTCTATTCTATTCTGATTCTAATCAGGTCTTCAATCCATTGAGGTAATGCATATGCAACTGTCAGCATCAAAAGGGCAGATCCAGAGTCATGATGATGTCATAGGCTCACATCCTCAGAGAATGAGACAAGATTATAGCTATATTTATATTTCTTCTTATTGTCTCCATTTTTTAAGGAGTCTTTTAAACAAAACACTGTCCATGCTACAATTCTTAGTAAGACTTACTGGTCAAGAATGTTCGTCAATAAAATTCCTTGAGGATTAAAAGGCGGAAGAATGAAACTCCATTTTGAGAATCAGCGCATTTTCTATTCCTAGTTTCCTTCTGGGATTGCTGGTGTCACAGTTCCAGGGTGACTCAGAATCAATTAATTATCTACACTCAGACTTGTTCACCCTAATTAATTCTCTGAGTGTCTGCATTCCCACTGCTATTTATCACTCCACTAATTCAATTTCATTCAGTCCCAACTCCAAACCAGCTCCGGGCAACTCACATGATAATAAGCCTATAATAACTTGTAGGCTTCCATCATTAATCCATTTTTTTTGTGATGCTGAATCTGGGAGACAGTGAGGTCTGGCTTCTTCCTTTTAGCTGCGAAGACATTTTTGCTGCTAAGACATGTCAAGGTATTGATTTAACAGCTAACCAACATGTAATGTAAGATGTAATGTAATGAGGCGAATGACTCAGCAGGGTCTGAGTCTCTTTAAGAGCCTTCGTATAAAGCAAGGGTCTTCAAACTTGGCCCTTTTATGACTTGTGGACTTCAATTCCCAGAATTCCTCAGCCAGCAATGCTGTGGTTAAGTGTCTATGGAGATTCTCCGTTCATCCCAGTCACGGGTGTCCCAAAGGCGCTTTTTCTAGAAGCAATTTGGGCTTCCTTTCCTTGAAGATGTTTCACTCCTCCTGCAGGAAGCTTCTTCAGTTCTGACTCAGACCGCCGTTCAGTGAATCTGGCTCCTGACTTTGCATCGTCAGGAGGTCGCAAAAGGGGATCACGTGACACACACACACACCCGGGACGCTGCAACCGTCACAAGCACGAACCAGTTGCCAAGCATCTGAATTTTGATCGTGTAACCATGGAAACGCTGCAATGGTCTTGAGTGTGAAAAACGGTTCTAAGTCTCTCTTTTCGGTGTCGTAACTTCAGTCACTTGTACGTCGAGGACTATCTGTAAAATGGGTCCAATTGCCAAGCGTTTCACATAATATTTTATTTTGCACTCCTGGAGAGTTGTCGTTTTTCAAAATTCTCACGGCCGTTATACGCCCTTTCATCCCTTCTTCCTTGAGGCGAACGTTGACGAGCCCGCCTTTCATTTCTACCTTCAGCATATCCTTCTTATTCACCCATCTTTTCATTATTCACTCATTTCAGTCATGACTTTCTTTTTTTAATTCTAATAACTCTGCTGAAAGCTCCTTGTTTAGCTCTTTTCATCTACCTCCAATTTTTTTTTTAAATCCCCATTAAAAAGACTTAGCATTTCCTTTGCTTTTTTCGGTTCTTTTTTTTTTTTTGCTTGTGACCCCCTTTGCCAATTTTCCTAGGAAATGTCTTATTTTTCCTCTTCAAACATTATAAGATACCTTCCTCTCATCCTCACGATTTTCAGCAATCATTTTCTTAAGTCTGTTTTTTTTTTTCATCCACAGCCTCTTCCCCTTCACTCCCCTTCATATTTTCCATCGCCATTTGCATAACTCAACATACTTCCTGGCACCACGGTAATATAATGTTCTTTGCTCTGATCCCTGCAATTTTGATACCCTCCTTCCATGTTTTCTATCCAAAACTAACCTGTCTTCTCACAGCCTTTCAAACAGGACACACACTTCTAAAGGTTGTTTTATTTTCATTCTAGTTTCTTTTGCTACTTTCATACGTTCATACTTTCTCTCTTACATTTAGCCCTTTGAATTTATGTAATTAATCTCTCCCCCTCCCCCTCTGCAGGTCCCTGCATGTATTCATCAACTCTATAAGATCGGACCACCTTCATTCAATGTTATATTCTCCCCATTTCTCTTCATTGCATAGACACACACAACTCCTTCCTTCCCTTCCCTTTCTCTCCTCATTCCCTCCTTCTCTTCTCCTCCCTTCCTCCCCTCCCCCTTCTCCTTCCTTCCTTCTTCCTTCCTTTCTTCCCTGCTTTCGTTCCTTCGTTCCTTCCCTCCCTCCTTTCCCCATTCCATCCTTCCCTCCCTCCCTTTCTTCCTCCTTCGTTCCTTCCCTCCCTCCTCATTCCCTCCTTCCCTTCTCCCTTCTCCTCCCTTCCTCCCCTCCCCCTTCTCCTTCCTTCCTTCCTTCTTCCTTCCTTTCTTCCCTGCTTTCGTTCCTTCGTTCCTTCCCTCCCTCCTTTCCCCATTCCATCCTTCCCTCCCTTTCTTCCTCCTTCGTTCCTTCCCTCCCTCCTCATTCCCTCCTTCCCTTCTCCCTTCCCCCTTCCTTCCCTCCCTCCCTCCATCCTTCCCTCCCTCTCCCTCCTCCTTCCCTTTTCCTCCCTTCCTCCCCTTTCCTTCTCCTCTCTTCCTCCCTCCTTCCTCCCCTTCCTGCCTTCATTCTTTCCTTCCTTCCCTCCCTCCCCCATTCCCTCCTTCTTTCCTTCCTTCCTTCCTTCCTTCCTTCCCTTCCCTCCCCTTATCCATCCATCCATCCATCCATCCACCCACCATCTTCATTCATTTACTCTTCCTTCCAACTTGTAATCTTCCATAAGCCACGGTCATCCCTGATACAGACATGTCTTTGGTCCATCAATATTTTTACAGAAGACCTTTCAGTAAGATGGAATAGAAGTAGACTCGGTCGCCAGCCTTAGTCACAGTTGTGCCCTAGGCAGACTTCCCTGCTAACAGGAAGGGCACTGCCAGGGAATTTGGGACAAAATTTTGCTTATCTTCTAAAATAGCTGACCACCCCCCCACACACACATGGCTGTTTGTTTTGGGTTGCAATCCAAGGTGCTAGCACTCATCGATTAAGCCATCTAGCCTGTGGATGCGAGGCTGGATTCCCCCTTGACCTGGAATCCGGATGTGTTCCTGAATTGTTACCATGGATATTTTCCCTGTGCAATCCTGATAAGGCTTGAGGCCTACAGGATTCGGCAGTCCTCGATTTACGATCACAGGGGGACGCTGCAACCGTCATAATTATGAGTCAATTACCAGGCATCTGAATTTTGATCACGTGACCCTGAGAATGCGGAAGCGGTAGTAAGTGTGAAAAACGGTCATAAGTCTCTTTTGTCAGTGTGGTTGTAACTTTGAAAGGTCACTAAATCGTAACAGAATAACAGAGTTGGAAGGGACCTTGGAGGTCTTCTAGTCCAACCCCCTGCTCAGGCAAGAAACCCTAAATCATTTCAGACAAATGGCTGTCCAGTCTCTTCTTAAAAAACTCCAGTGTTGGATCATCCACAACTTCTGGAGGAAAGTTGTTCCACTCATTGATTGTTCTCCTCCTTAGTTCTAGGCTGCTTCTCTCCTTGATGAGTTTCCATCCATTGCTCCTTGTCCTGCCTTCATAAAATGTTGCCAATCAAGGACTACTTGATTTGCACAAGTCAAATGTGTACAAGTCAAAGACCATTGCAGCATCCTCAGGACCATGTGACCAAAATTCAGATGCTTGGCAGCTGACTCGTATTTAGGATGGTTTCACTGCACTGGAGAAAAATGCAGGTGGACCCTTCAGCTAAAAAAAAATCAATGGCTCTGAAGCAGTAGTGGGATTCAAATGTGTGAACAACCGGTTCTCTGTGTGGATGCTGCTTACGGAAGTCCGTTCTGGGCCTGGGCAACCAAAAATTAGCTACTGGTTCTGCCAAAGTGGTGTGAACCGGCTGAATCCCACCACTCTATCATCTATCTATCTATCTATCTATCTATCTATCTATCTATCTATCTATCTATCTATCTATCTATCTATCTATCTATCTATCTATCTATCTATCTATCTATCTATCTATCATCTATCATCTATCTACAGTGGTGGGATTCAAATAAGTGAACAACCAGTTCTCTGTGTGGATGCCACTTCCGGAAGTCCGTTCTGGGCCCGGGCAACCAAAAATTAGCTACCGGTTCTGCTGAACTGGCTGAATCCCAACCACTTCTTTCTTTCTTTCTTTCTTTCTTTCTTTCTTTCTTTCTTTCTTTCTTTCTTTCTTTCTTTCTTTCTTTCTTTCTTTCTATCTATCTATCTATCTATCTATCTATCTATCTATCTAATCTATCTAATCTATCTATCTATCTATCATCCATCCATCCATCCATCCATCCATCCATCCATCCATCCATCCATCCATCCATCCATCTATCTATCTATCTATCTATCTATCCATCTCTCTTTCTATCTATCTATCTATCTATCTATCTATCTATCTATCTATCTATCTATCTATCTATCTATCTATCTATCTATCATCTATCTATCATCTACCTACCTACCTACCTACCGTGGTGGGATTCAAATAGGTGAACAACTGGTTCTCTGTGTGGACTTCCGGAAATCCGTTCTGGACCTGGGCAACCAAAAATTAGCTACCGGTTCTGCCAAAGTAGTGGGAACCGGCTGAATCCCACCACTGCTGTGAAGGTTGGTGAAGGATCAGATAACCCCGAAGGCGGAAAGCTTTTGTTCTGACTTTGGAAGGAGCCGTTTTGTAAATCAGCTCGGGCATTACCTGAGCATTGAGCAGCTCTTCGCATTTCTGTGCCTGTTTCTCCACCGCAGAGACATGTTGCTTCTCCAAGGACTTTTCCCGTTCGTCCACCACGACCTTCAGCAGGGCCTGGAACAAAGCAAAGTGCAGACAATCAGGCCAGGCTTGTTGTGATTTCCTCTCCCCCCCTCCCAAAAAACCAACAAAATAAATTCACACACACACTTTTTACAGAACTAGAGAAGCAAGCCTGAATCCAGTTGCCCATTAAAGGACATCCAGAGATTGAACAGGAGACATTTTTTTAAGAGGAGGGGTGTTAATGAGCCTAATTGAAGTCTGCAACTGGAGAATTTGCTTCTTATGAAACTCTTCCACTGAAGGGATGGATAACCGATAGGGAAAGTGAAGAGTTTTCTGTTCAACTTCTCGATGAGTTTCCTGGGACCACCCAAGACGACACGGAGAGGTTGGGCTCGCAGGAGGAGAGTCAGACATATTTCACTGGCTGACAAAACTCCACATCCTCTGAGCAGAGACGGCGAGATCCCAGGGGCCGAGCAGGATCTCCATAACCACAAGTCAAGTGAAAACAGATGGAAATTATGACTGGCTTGAAAATGTAGAAGACATGCCCCCAAAACGCTTCTCGCTCCAACTCAAAAGAGATCAGGAATCAGAGCTGAAAATCTAAACTGCAGCAGCCCAATCAGCCTGTTTTTTAAAACAAAACAAAAAAAACCACAACAACGCAAAAAGATGAAAACGTTTTCAACCATGCGTGGCGCGGAGGTCTACTCTACTCTGGGAAAGAGGGGGAACTCATCACGAAATTCGTGCTGTGTTCTCCCACGTCCTTCGGCCGAGGGATGGCTTCACCAGTTTTTCACACACTTCCCACAGCAGTGGCACACAACCTTGTTACCAACAATCCGTGTAAGATTCCCTTTCGCTCTTTCCCAAAGCTGTCGACAGGAACGGCGCGATGCGCAAGCGCCAAGGTTTAAACACATGGGCGAACCAAAGAGTTTGAACTTGCAATTGTGCTACCAAAATTCTGGTAGGCTTGGGCACATAAGTAGAACATTTGAAACAAGTTATTAACTAATTTTTAATGGTTCATGCTGTTGTACAAACAACAGCCTAAAATATACTAAAATGCTTGGAACTGTTTTTTTCTCCTCTTAAGTCATTATGTCTTCAAATATCATTATATAATTGTTATATATATATATATATGTGTGTGTGTGTATGTGTATATATATAAACTGTTATATAATGTAGGTCTTTAGTTATTCGGGTTATATGTTATATATATATTATACATATTATATTATATTATATATTATATTTATTGTATTGTATTGTATTTATTATGTTATGTTATGTTATGTTATGTTATGTTTGTTATGTTATGTTATGTTATGTTATGTTTGTTATGTTATGTTATGCTATGCTATGTTATGTTATGTTATGTTATATTATATTATGTTATGTTGTTATATTATATTATATTATAGTATATGTGTGTACATATACATATACATATACATATACATATACATATACATATACATATACACATATATATATACAGTTCAAAGGAGTGCTTGACAAAACAAAAATACTTCCCCCAAAATATTTCACTGTGTATTATACAGAATAAACTAAAAAGTTACAGAAGATAATTTAGGAGTATAAACTAATATAATTAGCAAATGTCAACATTCTCAACAAAAATGTTGTCAGTCTAAAATAAGGGCGAATTACTATTACAAAACAAGCCACAGCCACAGTTAAAAAAAAAGATAATTGGACGTTGGAAACTATTGGGGCGTTTCACGACTAAGCCGATTCTTCCATTTCATTTTTTTTTATTTGCATTATTATTTATTAAAAATACACTAATCCTATTTTCAAATTAGACATTTCCAAGGCTTTGGCCAATTTTTAAACGAAAGCCAATTTTTTTTTTTAAAAAAAGGGATATGATAAGCCAAAAAGAAAACCCTTAAAAAAACACAAACACCCTACAATCAAAGCACAACAGCAATTTTAACAAATTAGGACCAGACATTTCTTTCCCATAAACACCAACTTCACAGTTAGGAATTTCATGCAATGTCTCCTAACATTGCTATGCATAGGCAGTCCCGATGTGAAACCAAATCAAGAAGAATATTTTATTATTGTTGTGTCTTTCTGTTGGGACGGGGGCTGCGAATGGCAGCCCCAGAAGGAAGAACTTCCTAAACTAGATCATGGAACAGAACCAGCCTTATTCCTCCAGTCAGACTGGACCTTTCTGGGCCAAGAGCCACGGATTTGGGGCAATGTCAACACCACCTTTCCTTACAGCATGGAAAACAAATAAATCTAATCATAAAAAAATCTCTTTTATATTCTCAGATTAGAGCTAATGCTTTAGGACTGAGCAGCATGTAAGCATGTTTTCAAAACTGGTGCTTCCCCCCCCCAGTTGCTAATAGGATTTGTTTATGAGCCTACAGTTCATTATATATTGTATTGTATTGTATATTATATTGTTATATATTATATTGTTAGCTGGATGGTGGGGTTCCTCCCATCTCACCTTCTGCAACCACGAAGCCATGGCTTACAACCACGGATTACAATATGTTGCATGCTGGGAACTAATGAACCAAATCTAATAATAATAATAATAATAATAATAATAATAATAATAATAATAATAATAATAATAATAATAATAATAATAATAATAATAANAAGAAGAAGAAGAAGAAGAAGAAGAAGAAGAAGAAGAAGAAGAAGAAGAAGAAGAAGAAGAAGAAGAAGAAGAAGAAGAAGAAGAAGAAGAAGAAGAAGAAGAAGAAGAAGAAGAAGAAGAAGAAGAAGAAGAAGAAGAAGAAGAAGAAGAAGAAGAAGAAGAAGAAGAAGAAGAAAATTGGAAGGGACCTTGGAGGTCATCAAGTCCAACCCCCTGCTCAGGCAGGAAACCCTATACCATTTCAGACAAATGGCTGTCCAGTCTCTTCTTAAAAACTTCCAGTGTTGGAGCACTCACAGCTTCTGGAGGCAGGTTGTTCCACTGGTTAATTGTCCTCACTGTCAGGAAGTTTCTCCTTAGTTCCAGGTTGCTTCCCTCCTTGATTAGTTTCCATCCGTTGCTTCTTGTCCTACCTTCAGGTGCTTTGGAGAAGAGGTTGACTCCCTCTTCTCTGGGGCAGCCCCTGAGATATTGGTTATTTGTTCCATTTCACTTTTTGTTCTAATTTTCAATCAGAAGCCGATAGGAAAACTCAACCGGTTCCGATCTGAGAGGGCCTAAAGTGAGACCCCTCAAAATCCAATTAGGCTGTTCTGCAAGGCTTCCAATTAATGGAAGATGTCTTTGGAGACTCTCGGCCATCCAGATCACGGTTGACTTTCAAAACTCAACTGGACTTTTTCCTTGAAGACATTTTCGCTTCTCATCCAAGAAGCTTCTTCCCTTCCGACTGAATGGGAGAGAATCCTTCCACTCTCCACCCTTCAGTCAGAGCTGAAGAAGCTTCTTGGATGAAAAGCAAAAACATCTTCAAGATAAAACAAAGTCCAGTTGAAGTCTTTGGAAAACCTTCCCCGTTTCTTTGGAAGCTTTGTAGTCCTTAACTTACAACAGTTCATTTTAGTGACCATTCAAAGTTACAATGGCACCGAAACAAGCAACTTACGACCACTGGAGTATCCCCACGGTCACGCGGCCAAAATTCAGACGCTTGGCAACAGACTCCTACTTAGGACGGTCGCAGTGTTCTGGGGTCCTGTTCTCACAAGCGAAGTCAATGGGGAAGACGTGTTACTAACTTAAGAACTGCAGTGTTTCGTTTAACAACTGGGGCCCAAAAGGTCGTAAAATGGGGCAAAATTCACGTAACAACCGTCTCTCCCAGCAACAGAATTTTTCCAGCTCAATGGTGCTCGTACGTCAAGGACTTCGCTAAGTAGGAAGACTTCTGTTGAATGAAATAAAACTCAACTGAAAAGAAGCATGCATGTATATAAGCAAGCGTGTACACACTAGAACGCTGAGTACATGTGAATGTCCTTGTCACGTCTACATCTGAATGTACACCTCAGCCTCTTCTAGAGCACCCCCCCCTGCCTTCCCATTGCCACTGTAGGTCCCCCAATCATTTGTCCCCCAGCTATGCAGCTCTCCGAATGAAAGTATCCATACTCACCCACCATCCCTAGGACAGATCTTAAGGGTGGACCTCAAGCCGTTTCTTAGCTTCCTCGTGGTAATCTTGCTACAGGAATGCCCTATAAAACAGCTCCTCACCAACAGAGACTGCTGAGTTTCTTCCAGGAGTTACACAACCAGAACTTAGGACTCCTTGGTTGTGTCTGAGCTCCGTTGTGTTCTTGCAGACGAATCCATCACCCAAACTAGGTAACGTCCTCAGTGCTAGTCATGATGCATGATGCTAGCACTGACGATGTTACCCAGTTTGGGTCATAAAACATCTGCAAGAAAACACCCAAGTTTAGAGTAATTGAGAGGCTGCCACAAAGAAGAGGAACGAGTCAAATTATTCGCCAAAGCACCAGAGGGAAGGACAAGAAACAACAGTTGACTGACCAAAGAGAGAAGCAACCTGGAATTAAGGAGAAACTTCCTGACAGTGAGGACAATTAACTAATGGAACAGCTTGCCACTAGAAATCATGGACGCTCCATCACGGGAGGTTTTTAAGAAAGGACTAGACTGCCACTTGTCTGAGATGGTATAGGTTCTCCTGCTTGAGCAGGGGGCTGGACTA